GCCTGACACAGATGTATTTCATGATAGCCTTGGGTAACACAGACAGCTACATACTGGCAGCAATGGCATATGACCGAGCCATGGCCATCAGCCGCCCTCTTCATTATACAACCATCATGAGTCCAAGGTCCTGTGTCCTGCTGGTGGTTGCATCCTGGGTGATTGGAAATGCCAATGCCCTTCCTCACACTCTGCTCACAGCTGCTCTGTCCTTCTGTGGCAGCAAGGAAGTGGCCAACTTCTACTGTGACATTTCTCCCTTGCTCAAGCTGTCCTGTTCTGACATACACTTGAACGTGAAGATGATGTACCTAGGAGTTGCTGTTTTCTCTGTGCCATTACTGTGCATCCTTGTCTCCTATGTTCGTGTCTTTTCCACGGTCCTCCGTGTTCCATCCACGAAGGGTGTACGCAAAGCCTTCTCCACCTGTGGGTCTCACCTTACAGTTGTTTCCTTGTACTATGGGACAGTCATGGGCATGTATTTCCGACCTCTGACCAGTTACAGCCTAAAGGATGCTGTGATAACTGTGATGTATATGGCAGTGACCCCGATGTTAAATCCTTTCATCTACAGTCTGAGAAACCAAGACATGAAGGCTGCTCTGAAAAAACTCTTTCACAGAAGAAGCTCTTCATAACCAATGTGAGGTCATACATTGCATACCCATTACCTTATGGGGTCTGGAATCACTCTTTTTTGGTCAATAGAACAATTCCACATTTCAAGGTCAAAGTGCTCACCACTGGGAGGAACTTGGAATTCCACCAACAATGTTATCTCTTACAAGAAGCTGCCTCTAAACTTTACAGCCATAAATTCCTGGTCTCCAAAGTCTTATAAACATTTAGTGAAACAATTTATGGAAATTATCACTTTGACCACACTGCTATTTCTGTTGGCTGATCAGCAGCACAAGCTATTGGGTTCACATCCCCCCTACAAAATTGACTAGCACAGTAAAGTTGAAAAAAGTTTGAGCCTAGGCTTCTACATCTACATATTAAAACAATAATATCTGCCCTGCTGGTGTCACAGAGAGTGGTCATAGTAGCTCATGCTTTGAAGACTACAACTCAGCATTTTTATTTGACTAGTATGCTTAATCCTGCCTGCTAGGCTTGCAAGTCTGAGGGCAGGAGCTGTGAAGATAGATCAACACAAGAGTATGGTCACAATCCTGGTCATATAAGGTACATCCAGTAAAGGCTGGCAGAGGTGGAATGGGTGAATGACAATAATGTCTCTGATATGCAATCTGATAATGATTACAGATAATCAGAGTGGACCTGATTTATCCATCCTTAAAATCTTTCAGGAATCTGGGAATATATTTTTGTGCTTCCTTCATTTTGATTAAAATAGACTGTCTTTTAAAATCATAGAGTTCTCCCTAAAATCTTACTAAAATGATGGTAATGTAGGTTTTTCATGGTTTAAAGGAATAATGATTCTGATCTAATAAATGAAATCAATTCGGGTATAATTAATTCTAATACAAAATAAAACTACAATGGTCAAAATCTTAGGTGCCATATAACAAATGAAGAAAAAAGACCAGTGTTGATAATGACGTGACTGGGATTCTCCTGAGTGGCGCAGGAAAGGCGAGGCCATGATTCTGGCCATTAATTCTGATTATGTAGGTAACATTCCCAAAACAGAGTTAACCCAGCACATCACTGAATACCCACTAAGGGACCCCACAATCCAAGTTTTGTTCTACTTATGAGAAAATCAGAAGACTTTTTCAAAACATTAATGACATATAAATGATTCCTCATCAATCTTATTTTTCCAAATAAAATGTTCTTAAAAGATGGCTTGAGTATATCTTAGAGTAATACACAGGTTGTCTTATTATTCAGTTTTTTTAACTACCAGGTAAAATATTTATTATCTTCTCTATATAATTCATGTTGCCAAGAATTTGTCCATGAATTTTTGAAGATGATGGTACTCACATTTTAACATGTTCTGGGACCCTAGAACACCAAGGATGAGAACTATCACAATTACCATCTTTTGAACCAAAAAGGATTTGATTACAACTTAATATAAACTTGTATGAATGAATGATCACAGGATGCAGTAAATAAAGGTATTTTATCAGGGCATTTTCAAGGTTAGGCAATGAAAATGTCACATAAATTCAACTATTCTCTGTCTCTCCCAGCCTCAATGTGAAGCTTTGGGATCTGTCTTGTTCCCTGCTCTACTTCAGCACTTAGGACAGTTGACATATAGTAACCGCTTAATAAAATTGTGTTAAATGAATAAGTGAATCCTTCAATAATATGTTTAAATATGTATACAAGGTTAATATTTCTGCTATGGGTATAACTCAATAAGGTCAAATGTAACAAAATATTTCAAATATTTTCTATAGAGGAACATTAAGTGCCAAAGAGAACACTATATATAAAATATAAAATATATATTCTTAGGAGAAGTCCAAACACCTAACTGTTGAAATCAAACTCACATTATTCCTCTGCATTAAGTTAGATAAGGGAAGTTGACCTTCCTTTCTTTATTTCCTACAATAATCATAAGAATCTATATGTACATGTATAGATTCCATTGCAAATAAAATCTACTGCCCCTGTCTTTCAAGTCATTGTCTGAGCCATCTTCCTTTGATTCTGTCAAGCATGCTGTCCTGAAATAATATTAACATAGTAATTTAAGTTACTCTATGTAAGCCCTTAGGATTGACTGAGTTTGGAAAAAGCCTTGATAGCTTTTATGTTAATGAAGTTTCCTTAGGATGGTTAAGGAAACAGAAATCACATCTGTTATATTTAAACCAAAAACACTGAATACAAAGAATCTGATACAAAGGTGCATTCTGAAAGACTAATAAAAGGGAAAAGAATGCTGAGGTTGCCCAGTGATTATTAAGTGCAGGAAGTGACCTCCTTCAGAACCAGTGTAATAAAAGGGGAAAGGTGGTGGTGGTATCAGAACCTAGGGATGATCACATCTCTGACACTCTAATCTCTGAGGACCACTCAGCTGCCCCTCAGTCTTTACTTGCAGAGGTGACTTCTATTTGGGGGAAATATAAATCCTCAAAAGCACTTTTGGGGGCAAGGGGATCTTATGGAGTTGCTATTTGTTTTATTTGTTGGTCATGGAAATATTAAGAGGCATCCCCCACACAACTCCAGACAGTCCTCTTTGTCCTCCATCATATAGCAACAATGTGATGTCCTTGCTCATTGGGGTTAATCACCCTCACCAACAGAGAAATCTCTTTTTTCTTCCCCTGAGTAGCCTACCGAGACACACTATAATTTGTTTGAATCTTAGCAACAAAACATTAAATTTTCAAAATTCAAATTCCCAAAGATTATTATTAATATCCTTTTTATAAGTCTGTAAACAATTAAAACAACCAAAAATACCTTATTTTCAAAAATATACTTACGGGCTGGGGATGTGGCTCAAGTGGTAGCACGCTCGTCTGGCATGTGAGCGGCCTGGGTTCAATCCTCAGCACCACATACAAACAAAGATGTTGTGTCCGCCGAGAATATAAATAAATAAATATTAAAATTAAAAAAAAAAGAATATACTTACATGCCATAAAAGTGCATTAAAAATAAATGACCACAGGGCTCAGATGAGAGGAAGTTTGAGAGGGGATAGTCAGGGGAATTAAACTAGGGGTACCAAGTGGTTAGATGTAGGATATGAACACAGTCCTAATTTTCAGGCTTGATAGCAAGTTCCAGAGTGTTTATCAAATTATGATAGGTAGAAAGATGATATATAGATAAAAGCTCTGCATGAAACAATGATGCTTATCTCTCATCCAGGATTAGGTAGAGACAAAAAAGTAAGGGAAGAGAGAGACATAATGAGGTCAGAGTTTAATCAGACATCTCTAAGAGCAATCTGGAAGATTTCAACATATTTCTGTAGCATAGACTAAATAGCACTCCTTTACAGATAAGAGTCATATTTTTGAAATATTAAAGGAATTATTCCATGTCTTTTACTAAGAAAGATGCAGAATGTCAAATCAACCATACCATTTGGTCATGCAGAGAATTAAATCTTGTCATTTTCAACAGTATGGATGGGCCTAAGGACATTATGATAAGTGTAATAAGTCAGGCACAAAAAGACAAATACCACATGATCTCACACATGTGTGGAATGAAGATATAAACCCTAAATACAGAGATAATGTGGAAATGGAAACAATTGTGATAGCAGCAGATGTTCAGGGTTTTGAGGTTGAGCCACTAATAGGAAAAGGATGCCTTTAATGACAATAATGAACAAAAGAGTAATTTAAGTCTAATTAGTTCCATCTGGAGTGTGTTTTTAAGAATTCCTGTGACTGTTGTGGAGGTTTTGAATTAAAATAGTAGAATGAACACTTGAAGCCTGGGAGCAAAAAAGTAACAAAGCATAGGTCAGAGTGGAGTTGATAAGTTATGGAAATACATGTGGGATGGGAAGAAGGTGGTTAATGGGTCCTATGCTGTAGTTAGATGGATCAAGAACTCTGAGTGAGCTATTGCACATGAGGGTGATATAGATCACAGTTATGACCGTACATTTCAAAAGCTAGAAGAAAGGATTTTGAAATTTTTTCAGGTTTTAAAACTTTTTATTTGCATATTTAAAAAATTGTGCATTCCAGTAACTAAAATCATTTGAACAAAAAAAGAAGGCACTCTGATTAAACTGCATTTTACAGGCTGCAGGACACCTTGGAACAGCTTGGATCTTACTCTAGAGTCACCATCCTCCCACCCAACATCTTCCTTCACCAACAGGCAAGTTCTTTTCTTTCTCTGCCAGCCAGACAGGCAGATGGGAGAGGCAGGCCTGGCCTTCGTTGTCAGTAGTTCTCGATTTTTTGATGTGAAAAGGGGCAGCACAGTCATTTAAACTTGATCCAACCTCTTTGCATCTTACAAAGTTAAACAGCTAAAAGAAATAAAATAAGGAGGCAATGCTTGTGGAATAAACCGTGCATATTGGCGGTGCATGCCTCATTACTATTTGCCTGCTTGCTTCTCCTGTTCAATCGTTTCTTTTGAAGGCAGAGGATTTTTCTCCCGTGTTTCTGTCTTCTGCAGTTTGGACTTATTGAATTTCTTGATCTCAGCCATATCAGACATGGTCTCAGAGGAAGCAGAGCAAGAAGCGTGAACAAGAGAAGTCTGATCTGCTCAGTGACCATGGCCAAGTGGGGATTTTGAAGTTTTTAGATAAATAAATGATAAATATCTACAGATTTACTAAATTTATTTATTGGTTTCAACAGTTTTTTGGTGGAATCTTCAGGTTTTTCTACGTATAAAATCATGTCATCTGCAAACAGGAACATTTAACTTCTTTTCCAGTTTGGGTGGTCTTTACTTCTTTCTCTTGCTTAACCCTGGTCAAGAGTTTCAGTTCTGCATTCACTAGGAATAGTGAAAGAGGACTTCCTGGGTCTGCTCCAGACCTTAGAAGATACACGTTCAGCTTCTCCACATTTAGCACAATGTTCTACACAGTCTTTATTGTGATGAGGTATGTCACTTCTATACCTAATTTGTTGAGGGTTTAAATCATGAAAAGATGTTGAATTTTACCAAATTTATCAAGGATATCAGTTTGTAGTTTTTTTAAATTAATTTTTAAATGTATATATGATAGTGGAATGAACACAAACAACAATAAGTGTTGTCAAGGATGTGGGGGAAAAGGTACACTCATACATTGCTGGTGGAACTGCAAATTGGTGTAGTTAATATGGAAAGCAGTATGGAGATTCCTTGGAAAACTGGGAATGGAACCACCATTTGACCCAGCTATCCCTCTCCTTGGTCTATACCCAAAGGATTTAAAAATAGCATACTTCAGGGACACAGCCACATCATTATCTGTACTTTTCTTTTTATTACCATAATTATTAGCACATTTCATTGTTCAAAATAATGGGTTTCATTGTATGTTTTTATACATATATTAACATGCACATAACATCCTCTGATCATATCCAGTCCCCTTACAAGCTTTCTTTTTTTTAATTTTTTATTTGTTCTTTTTAGATATACATGTACAGTAGAGTACATTTTGACATATTATATACATACATGAAGTATAACTTATTCTAATTAGGATCCCATTTTGTGGTAATTAAACATGATGAAAAGTTACACTAGTCGTGTATTCATATAAGAATATAGGAAACTTAGGTCCTATTCATTCTACAGTCTTTCCTATTCCCATCATCCCTCCCTTCCCTTCATTCCCTTTTGTCTAATCCAATGAACTTCTATTCCCTACTCACCACCTAGTGTTAGCATCCACATATCAGAGAGAACATTCAGCCTTTGATTTGGGGGGAGATTGGCTTATTTCACTTAGCATGATAGTCTCCAGTTTTGTCCATTACTGGCAAATGCCATAATTTCATTCTTCTTCTTTATGGCTAATATTCCATTGTGTATTTGGATTTTCTTTATCCATTCATCTGTTGTATGCCTATCTACTTTCACATTGCAGACACCATGGCTTAGCTATTATGTATCATGCCATGATAATCATGGATATGCTGGGATCCTAATGCATTCTGACTGATTCCTTCTGGTATGTACTCAGGAGTGGTAGAGCTGGGTCACGTAGTAGTTCTATTTTTTTTTTTTTTTTTTGCTTTTAGAAGCACCTCCATACTGTTATCCAGACTGGTCATACTCATCTACATTCCCACCACCAGTGTGTAAATGTTCTGTTTTCCCTGAATCATCACTAGCATTTCTTGTTTGGTTTGGTTTGGTTTGGTTTTTTACTTAATATAAAAATAGTCATTCTGACAGGTGAAATGAAATCTCAGTGTAGTTTTGATGTTCATTTTTCTGATGACTAAAGATGTTGAGCGTTTTTTCATGTGTCTATTTGCCATCTGTATACTTGTTCTTTTGAGAAGTGCCTGTTCAGCTCATCTGCCCATTTTCTGATTGGATTACTTGTCCCTTGGTATTATATTTTCCAAGTTCTTTATTATTTGAGATACTAATCCTCTGTCAGATGAATAGCTGGCACAGATTTTCTCCCATTTTGTGGGCAATCTGCATCTTCACCCCGTTATTTTCTTGTGCTATGCAGAATTTTATCCATTTCTTCTAAGTTTTCCAATTTGTTCTCATATAATCATTCATAACAGTTTCTAATGATCTTTTTATTTTTGTAGTATCACTTATAATGTCTCCTTATTCATTTCTTACTTTATTTATTTAAGTTTTCTCTCTCTCTTTTTCCCCTCTTGGGTGGCCTGGCTAAAGCTTTGTCAGGTTCATCTTTTTTAAAAAAAATGTTTAATTGATCTTTTGTATATATTTTTTAAATTCTTCATTTTGTTTACTTCAGTTCTGACTTTTATTGTTTTCCTTCTCTTTATTTGGGTTTGATTTGTTCTTTATTTTCTAATTCTTAAGTAATGAATTATTTTTACCTGTATAAGGCAGTTGTGAATATGAACCATACTAGATATTTGGTGATACAAATAAATTAGTGTTAAATTTTTAGGTGAGATAATGGCCTATTGCTTATTTCCTTAAGAAATACATAAATATATAACTCTTAAGAGTTTCTATTTTTATAGATACACATAGAAATTTACCAGTGAAATAATATATAGAATTTGGTTCAAAGTAATCTAAAGGAATAGGGGATGAGGAGGAAATTGGGGATAAAACAAGCAAATCTGGCCATGAGACAGTGACTGTTAAAAAAGGTGACAGGTATTTAAATTGACTTCATATTGGCTCACTTTTTTTGTTTAGCTAAAAGTGGTACTCAAGAAATCATGAGTTTGATGTATTCGTTTGGGGGAGGTTGTTTCAAATATATAACCTTCAAAATAAAATGTAATGGATACAAAATGTGATATGTACTATATCAAATTATAACATAGACATTATACAATATAACAATTGTTAAAGAATAGAGGATGTAGCCAATTAAATTGATATTAATTTAAATTATTAAGTTAATAAGAACAGATATTATACCACAATGAAATATCACCTCATGCCAGTTGGAATGACCATTATCAAAGAAATAAAGGTGTTGGTGAGGATTGAAAAGGGGTGCCGTGAAGGGACATTGAAGTTATCCTGGCAGGAACAGTGACTAAAAGGAAATACAGGTTAACTTCTGGAGTGCTAGCAGTGTGCCTTTCTTCTAAGTACCTATGACTCTTCCATTTTTAAAAATTCCTCCTTCATTTTCCAGCTTCATTTTATTACCTAAACATAAGCATAAGAATTGCTGTTCAGCCTGTGTCTGATAATTAGATTTGGAGTTCTCTGGGTCAGCTGTCTCCACTTCTCTCCATCCCCCTTTCTCTCCCTCTCACCTCTATTTTGCCTTTCACATCCGGGGTCCCTACATGCTTCCCATGTGTTGGATCTTGCTTTTGAAATCTTATTTCCTCATGTATCTACTTTTCTTTGTTTATGTGTTGGATATTATCCTTAAAAAATATTGAGAAAAATAATTTGAGGTCTAAGGGACATTGTTTTCCTCCAAGCATGATTTTTTTTTCAGTTGCTTTTACTTTAGTATTTGAAACAACTTGAAACCATCTTGAGCCAAGATTAGTGTTTGAGATTTTCCAGATCTCTAATGGCTCAAAGCTGGGTTTCAGAATGTGTCGATTCTTCTTTATTTTTCACTTCTCCTTATTCGTTGGGCAACTTTTAAGACTGCTGCACAGTAATGATTTGTTTACTTCTTGTGAACCAGACTCATTTCCCAAGATCTTTACCTCTAAATATCAACATTGGAGCAATTATCTGTGTTCATCTCAAGAAGCTGTCTTGGGATTGCCTCCCCAAGGCCTCTCCAAAACTGATAAATGGGCCCTTGTTCAGCCCCGTTCTACGTGAAACTGGGATCCAAGCCTCAGTTCTCAGATCCCCCAGACCAACTAGGGCATAGAGAGCCCTTAAATTCTGTCTCCCTTTTTATAGGGACCGAGACCCAGGGAACAAGTTCCTGCTCCTCATCTTTAGCCAAAAACACAAGTCATTAAGCCCTATTCAGAAAATTATGCATTAGAGTCCCTTATGCCCTTTTTAACCTGTAGAGGAGAAAAGTGGAGACAGCTGAACCAGAGAACTCCAAGAACCGCACAGAGCAGTGGGTAAGGTCAGTGGGTGAGGTCTCAGGCTTGCCTTCTCTTCTCTATTCTATTCTCTCTTCTCTCCATCCCCCTTTCTCTCCCTCTCACCTCTATTTTGCCTTTCACATGATATGTAATCTAACCTCTTGGTGTTTAAAGTAATGTGACAATCCTTCAAATCTTTTAAGTGCTGTATGGTTTTCAAATTACTGCCACATGCCCTGCTGCCTGTGATTCCCACCACCTGCAAGAACAGCTATTCAGGTGAGATGAGGGAGCTCCAGGAGATTGTGCTCTAGTAGAACGGACAGAATGGAGGAGGTGCCAGAGCCCACTTCGAGTCTGGAGTCCTTTTCCATATTGCCCCTGCAATGTCTCCACTCACAGCTGAGCCACATCATAGATGGGTTTGTGCCTCCAAGGACCATCTGAGCACACCAAGGTCCAGAACCTACTCACTCTTCCAGTCTCAGAGCAGAGTTTCCTAAGAATAGAACCACCAGGTGCTTGGTTAAAGAGTCTTGGTTCTCAAAATAGGACCAGGACTTTAAGGGAAAAGGTCAGGAGATCAGCATTCTCCTCTGAAGCCCCACAGGTGATCCTGACACTCAGTCCTAAGTGTGGGAGACTCTTGCATCAAGCACTAGAAAACAGAGGCTTCAATTCCTCTGAGGGTCCTCTGGCTTTCTCAATGGTGTCATCTGGTCCCGACTGTCCCTCCTGTCATGGAGATGTCCCAGAGAGTCTGAATTTCAGGAGCCATAGTGGAAGGAAGTAGTTTCTGCTGGAGTCTAAGGAGGTGAAAGAACTTTCTCCATGGCAGAAATAAGACATGGTGGCCCAGGCTACCCAAGACTTTGGTCATCTCGGGGGGAATGAAAGTTCCCCCTTCCATTTGCAAATTCTTTTTGTAGTTGTTGTCATTTAATTTTGGTTTGGGTTTTGGTTGTTTGTGTTCCTGGAGATTGAACCCAGGACATTGCATTTGGCGAGCTATACTGCAGT